TGTGTTATCAACTGTGTACTGTGGCTGGTTTTCCAACTGCCTTCCGATAACAAACAAGCTCTTCCCATGTATGTATGGGTTAATTTAACACCTTTCCCATAATCATCTTCACTCCATGAAGCAAGAACCTGCATTGAGCTCCAGACTGAAGGTGATTGATCGTCATTTAATATTTCTTCCACTTCTAAATAATCACACTGATAGTTGTCACCTTCAAGCTTCTTGCTAACACCCTTGTATCCCAGTCAAGCAGATCTATGTTTTCCTTGATGTCCTTTGACAGCTCTTTGGTCTTGCTTATGGTGGTGGAGAGTTTGGAATAAAAGAAATTGATTCTGTGGACAGGTGTGCTTTATACACATAATAAAGTTGATTGATTGATACATTTTTAATTCTGAGAGCCAGAATTCTAAGAGATCAAATACTTATATCACTCAATACAAATCAGTTTATAACTTGTGTGTAAAAAAAAAAAAAGTAAGGAGAGAAACAATCAAAAGGACTGTGTGTGTGTGTGTGTGTGTGTGTGTGTGTGTGTGTGTGTGTGTGTGTGTGTGTGTGTGTGTGTGTGGAACAGCAGAACATAGCCAACAGGTTGTTTACAAATTAACTTCATACACACTCTTAGGCCTGTTGCCAAATTAGAGGATGTTGAATCTTCTCACTCCTGCCCTCTAGAGACTACACTAGCTGGAGAAGGTAACTAGCCATTCCTCAGTGGGGTTTACCAAAGTCCACCCAGGGAATCATTAAGAATTTCTATTGCTGGGCAACACTAAGCACATGGGCCCTAAGGACAAGTTAGCAACTTCACCACATTAAGTGGGTGGAACTTTGTAAATGTAGAGGGAACAGACTACATGGAAAAAACTACATATACAAGTAGACCAACACAATTCTGGCTATGATGCAGCTACTGGGAAGGACCTTGACAATTGAGCAAAATCCAAAATGTAATGTGAAGACCTGAACTTTTACAAAGACAGGACTACGAACTTTAGTTTGCAAAAGAGAAACAAGTAGTCTGTTTTTTTAAATGGGAATCTTTGAATCCAGTGCCATTGCCACAGGCTTATAAAATTGAGCACTTAGCCATGCAGCCTACCTTTAAAAACATTTGTCTAGAAATAGATTGATCTAAGAGCACAATGAATTTGAGCGTGATATAATAAAAGGATGTCAGCAACTCAATAAGGGAAATTTTCCTTAAATATTAGATTTATTATTTTTTATATTAGATATTTTTCTAGATATTCTAAGATCAACTTTACCGGTATTTATACAAAGTGAAAGCTTTCAGAAACCATAGTTACTCAAACCCAAACTGGGTTTACTGAACAAATTAGGTTTTTTAGGTTTACTTGAGTCATTTGTGCTATTTTAAGAAAACATAAAAATTAGATTTACTTTAAAAAGTTGTTGCACTCAAGTGTGTAAAGTAACTCTGAAGAAATTGGCTGTTTTGTACTCTAAAATATTTGATTCAATGACAAGCCACTGAATTAACCTGAAAGAATAGAGAATTTTACTGAAATAACATCAAAGAAACTACAGAGGACTCTTTAAAACTGACAATGTAGAGAAATATTTTTTATGTGATTTGACAGGTTAATTCAATGACCTTGAGTGACAAAACAAAACAAACATTTTTTTCCAAACCTCCTTTGGCATTAACATCAGTACAAAAGCTGTGTGCTGGGAGCTTTGTGGCATCCAAGGCCAGGAAGCAACTGCAAGTGTATTGTGTATGTGATCCAGTACTTTTGTTTATATTGTGTATGGACTGAATAAACTTGGAAGAAAGCCGGACCAATTTAAAATATTAACTGATTTCCACTTTGATAGACAGGGAGAGAAAAATGTGCAGCAGTGAGTTTCTGCTGGTAGCGTGATCACCATGGGTTACTTGCAGAGGTTCATATCACACTTAGTTTTTGTGAAAGTAATTATTCATCAATCACATTACCCTTGAGGTTCAGTCCTTTATATGTATAGAATATGTAAATATATGTTAATCTCCAAACAATGGAGAATGTATTCACTGACAGAAAGAAGTCTTCAAAAATAAATTGCCTAATATGATTCTGTAAACTTCCCACACACTCAGCTATGGCACACAAAAGCTTTAACTGGCAGAAGCTGTTCTGACAGATCGAAAAAGCAGAATTTCACCTGAGAACCAGACCCAAATGCATGCAGCGAGATGTTTGCATACTCAGTCTCACCAAATGGTCAGAAACACACATCTGAAGTGAAAACAGTGATGGGTTTAACTCTGTGTTTGTGTTTAATTTCAGCATAATCACTGAAAACACTCAAGAGGCAGAAACCCGCAAAGCTATGTCAGTAATTTATTTGTTGGCAAACAACTTTCACTGTTACAACAAATATTAGTTATGAGATCATTCAACGTGGAACCCATACAAAAAGAATAAATAATTAGCAGTAATATTGTAATAATAATCAAGATCATAATAATTTAAAAAAAGAAATGAAAAACCCCAAAAATTAAAAAAATTTTAAAAAAAACAAACCCAGTGCCACTTTATTTACTCCTGCCAGCTTTCTTTCCTCTGAGCTTGTTTTGCTGTATTTAAACCAATAAACTGATAAATAAATAATTTCTCTCTTGGGGACATGGCGGGGTTTGTGGAATACATGTGCAAGCTACACTTCATACACTTATTCATTTTCCTGCTAAATAAGTAAACATTGGCTTTCCACATTGGACAGTGCTCTTGTGTGCAGATTTTTCACATTTTCAGTACACAAATATGGTGTAGCCATGATATTTCATTGGTAAGACTGACCCCTTTGTAAAATAGTAGATTCTCTGAGCATTTTTCTGTACAATAAGATCTCAAACAGCACTGTAAGGTATTATCAGTTGCTGGAATATTTGGCAGAGGATATGTTTTTAAAAACTATTTTTGTGCTACGTCTTAAATCTGGCGTCTTTGTAATTTTTCACACCGAGGCCCCTCGCGCAGGGTCAAAATGAGATGAGATCCTCTTCCATCAAAAGTCTAAAATGTAGCATTTCCATAGTAATCGCTTCCTTCGTCTCTTAACTACTTCGGTTTCCTGCTTGGTTTAAATCTACACAAGTGGCAAAGTATATAGTAACAACTAATTTGCAAAATGTACGTGACAGTGGTGTTGCTATAAAAAGGACCAGGATGAAGTGTGCGTAGGGTATATGCGTATTAATTAAGGAGTGCTTGACCGCCTCTGCATTACGAGAGAGTGACATGAAAGATTGTTTCTTGCTCGTTCTGCAGTCCTCTCGTGAACAGAACATATCATTGCATTTCAGAACGTTTTCACACACAAAAGGTTTGCAACTTAGGATTATAAAATAAAAGACTTGGTCATATGCAACATTTGTATCTGTATCTGGATTCTGTACAATACATAGAAACAGTTTGTGATTTCTTCATAATCCTTTGATAACGGAAAACTTTTACAGAAGAAAGGAGAAGAAACAGAACTTTTTTTTTCACTTCAGTCTGTTGTAATATGATCTTCCTTCTTTGTTTTCAGTGAAATACACAGTAGCCGCTGTCACTACGACTTGCAGGAATGTTACACCAGCCCAGACACAACTCCAGTTTAGCAGATACGAACAGGAAGAGAACTTCGAACATCAGTTTGATATGGTTACAGTTCAGCCGCCCAAATAATATCAGTGGTTCTTTTTCTTTTCTTTTCTTTTCTTTTCTTTTTTTTTTTAACTTTTTTTTGGGTGATTGTTAGTGAGGGCATATATCATACATCCTTCACTTGATTGGCAGGTAGCGGTGCTTCTTTGGGGCCAGTTTATGCTGTGAACACCAGAGTCTGACGTCCTGCTCTACCCTTTATTATCGTGGAAACGTCATCCAACGTATGCGTCTTTAAGAGTTAGACAGACAGACAGACATACAGACAAACAGACAGGCAGCTCTTTTCACCCAGGGCTGGGGGCCTGGGCCCTGTTGTGGTGGTAGTGGAGACTATATGCTATAATCTGCTAGAGGTCCATATTGGTAAACTTGTAGGGCTACGGTCAATCCGAAGATTCCAAATAAAAGTAACAGGTACGGTAAAATTACAGAATCCCTCCCCGTTCCTTTTCTGTTCTGAGTTCAAACATTCCATTCTGGCTTGATGTTCACAAAAAGTCTTTTAGAGCTGCCCTCTCAGTCTGCACCTTTTATGACAGTACATTCAATCCCTGCTTTTAACTGGCCAGTGATGTCTCAATCATATTGTCATGGGCCGCCGTTAATGTTACACACAGTACCTCAATCCAGGGTCGGGCCAGCTCAGTCTGTCAGTCAACAACACAGAATGTTTTCACTGAAAGGTTGAAAGTGTAAAGGTGGGCTGGGGAGGGACAGAAGTCTCGACTGCCTCTATAGACTGGTAACCAGGTGAGAAGGGTCTACAGGCGGCTCCTCGGGTGATGAATCGGACTCATCCTTGCTCCCAGAGACCATATATCCATCACTGCCACCACGGCCCATGTGGTAGTAGCTCTGCAGCTCGTGAAGGTGATTCCTGGAGCCCAAGTTTGGCATGCTCTTATAATAGACATCATCCAGTTCAGGAGCAGTAGCACTCTTACAGGGCTGTAGCTCCCCGGAGCTGTCTTCCTCTCCGTCTGTTAAACCATTCATCTGCCCATCTGGGAGGTCCGTCAGCACTGGCATGCTGGTGTAGAGTGAGTCTCTGTGGTTTGGTGAGTGCGTGTGCTCATCAGTGTGCTCGTTTGTCAGCAGGGGAAAAAAGCTCTCGCTGGTCTCTTGAGGAATGCGCCGTGGCCGGGAGAAACTGTGAGGAGGCGGCGGCGGCGGGGGGTGGCTGTCTGGCGGAGGAGGCCGTGGCGGCAGGAGAGGTGCATTGGACTCCTCTCTGATAATCTCCAAACCCAGGTTCTCCTCATGGGGGAAGGCTACAGAGTTGTCTAGTACCATGGGGCCATTGTCCTCTTTACTGCCTCCCACACATCCACCAACTCCACTGCTGCTGCTGCTGCTGCTGCCCCCTGCCAGGCTCCCTGGAAGAACCAGGCAAGAATCATATTACACCACACATCTCAACATGTTAGCCCACTGACGTTAAATCATTTTGAACAAAAAGCACTGCCACTGCTACCCAAGGCAGAAACTTTAGCATTACTAGTAAAACAAGTATTACATTTTTTAAATTGTATACTTTATTGACCCCCGTGGGGAAATTCCTCTCTGCATTTAACCCATTCACTCTGTGAAGTTTAAAGTCCCCACTCTAATTTTCAGAAATTAACAACAGATTAAATTAGTCCTGCTATGTGACACCGGACCCAAAGAGAGCGATTTAAAGGATGTCAGCTCCTTTGATGTCATTGTCCAGGTTGTCTTGCTTTCGAAATTACAGTTTTACTTGAGCTCACTACTTTCAACAGTGCAATTTTCGCCAGCATCATATGTCTGTTATCCAGTAAAAAAAAACAAAAAACCCCCCCAAAAAACTACTGTCTGCTAGATCTGCCCACTACCAAATGTCAGACAGGCAAAGCAAAAGGAAAAAGGATCAACTTCAGGTAAATCTACGCTTCCCAATAGCTGCCAAAAGTGTAAAAGTTTGGTATTGACATATCAGCTGTGATAATATGTCGCAGTTGTTTAAGCTGTCTGCGAACGGTTAGAAATAATAATTATTGTAGATTTTAATATGTTGCTCACCACTTCTATTGTGCTGTTTTGTTGAGTTCACCTGAACCCTCAGAAGGAAGGGTTACTGCAAATCATTATAAATGACAGGCTTTTGCTTAATTCAGTTTAATAATCACCTGTCTGCATAAATCATTGTAACCAGATAAAAACCCAGATTCTACTCATTCACCCACAGAAACAAATAAAAAGTGTTTACACGCATTTATAATTACTCTAAGACTATTTTTGTTGTAGTGAGTTAACAAGCAGTGCCACTTAATAAATCGAAATATTTACATCTGTTTATCAAAACCTTCAATTATATAAATGAAACCACATTCACCTCCATTGGCCATGCTGCTGTTCACCAGTTTGTTCATGAGGTTGTGATTGCGCTCCGTGGTTGCTCTCTCATGATTGTTGAGGTAAGATGGGATATAGTTGGACGTCAGCTCCTTGAGGATCTTCTTCTCTAGAGTTGTCTCCTTGTGGTTGCCGTGGGTGCCGTAGCCGGCGCTACGGTCGAGGATCTGGACACAGTCGCTCAAGTACTCACTGCTCGCCATGCTGTAGTTGTTGGCATGGTTACCATTAAGAGGGAGTGTATCCATAACACTGGAGTCTCTTGCGTTGTTCAGGATGCCCTCTGAGAAACAATTTTAAAAAGTGCTAATTATTAAGATGTAAGAAAAAAACAACTCCCAAGTGGTTTTTTTACAAATGAAAGATTTTAATTATTGTTTCACATCGTAGTGGGTGCTGTGAATTGAGGATTAAAAATTAGCAATGATAAATTTCTTGGAAAGAAAAATGCTTCAAGCGTCCATAATTCATTAAGGAGAATCTTCATAAGTACTCTTCTTTTTCAATTGCTGCTAGCGCTACAACAATACAAAAAGAAAAGTTAAAATTTCACTGAAAAATGTTTTAAGTAGAACTTCTAGTAATTATACAGGAGTTATTATCACATCTCATCTCCCTGCTGGTCGACTAATACTAGAGATACTGTATATCGACTGGAAAACTTTTTGGGGAAAAAAGGTTTTGCATAGGTTGGATTTAAAACATTAAATTGCTTTAAATTCAAGAAAATAATTATGTAGCTGAAGTAGTTTGAGTAATAATGTAGTCCATACTTGTGTCTCGGTATGGTGCTAATGGACAGCATGAGGGAGAGAGAGAGAGAAGAGAAACACAGATGTGAATTTAGACATTGACAGAAACACATTTCAGCCACCGTTACATCAACAATTGCTCAACAACTAAAGGCAAGTTGACAAATTTTAAACACAAAAATCTTACATAATCATTACAGAACAAAATATCTGTGCTTTGTTATAAAGACAGAGAAAGAAACAGCATAAGAATCATATTTAAAATGCTATAAATGTAGATATTAAGCATATGCAGACACATGCTGTTGCACAAGCAACACAAGGCCAAAATGACACATGCATGTAAAAATAAAAATAAAAGTAAATCTAACATTCATATAAAATGTAATATATAAGAAATATTTCATGGTTCCCAAGTAGCTTTTTTAAGATATAGCAAATCTGCAAATAGTAATTTAGATAGAGTTGTATGCATATATGTACATTTCAGTGTCATTGATCATCTCACTTGGGAACCATAACATGCATGCATCAAAATAGAAAGCACCTTTTAAACTGAAAGAACCATGCAAACTAAATCAATAAATAGATAAAATAAAGCAACTCTATGCTACATTTAAAAATGTTGTTCATAAATGGAACATCAGCCACACCTTGGGTGTTGTACATGCCCACAGCTGGGTTGTTATAGACTGCCGAGTCCCCCAGGAGCGTGTTATAAGGATTGTTAGTACCATGGGGACGAAGGAGAGCATTAGTTATAAGATGATTAGCCATGGCTCCTGGTACAGGCAGATAGAGAAAGAGAGAGGAAAAGCAATAGCCAAGTCGAGAGAGGAGGAGAGAGGAAAAGCAACAGCCAAGTCAAGAGAGAAAAAGAGAGAAGCACTCAGGAGAAAAAAAAACAGAGTGGAGATAGAGGTTAAAGGAGAGAACATGTAGCCATTGCAGAGTGGAAGTAAGCAAGAAGGAAAAAAGAAGAAGGGAGAGCGAGATGGAGAGTGAGTGTGTGGAAGAAAGAGGGAGAGAAGAGGACAAGTAAATCAAACAGGCTAACAGTTCAGGGAGAAAGGCAAGAAAAAGCTTGACAAGTCATTCTTGCAGCCATTGCATACAGGCTGAGGGAGGGAAAGGGAGAAGGAGACAGAGAGAGAGAGAGAGACAAAGAGAGAGTGCCATAGCTTGGAGCAGACTGTGCTGCAGTTCAATACGCTTGAGCAGAGAAGCATGACTACAGGACAGTTAATGGACAAAGGGGCCACAGAAAGTGTTTTCAGTGCATTTTCTGAGAGACTGCTCATATACACATTAAGACAATGCAAAAATACAGGCAACAAATGGGCACGACAGCTCTTATGCATTCATCCTCATGATGCTATCGACACTGTATGAAGCAGGCTGTGCTACTGCTGTCTGTGCATGTCATATAGCTTTAAAACAGAGAGGGGAAAAACAGGTTCAAATATCTCTGTGGTTTCAGCATAAACTCAAAGCAAAACATGATAAGAAATAATTATCTTTATCAGTTTTCTTTTCCTTTTAGTACCTTAGCAGCACCACTAATGAGGTGCAGAGATGGTATTATACATGACCAACCACTGTGTATGTGATGACCTAGTGGAGAGTCTGCATCATGCAGTTTTTCTTTTTGCTTTTCTTTTCTGCTCTTTCTAGCGGCTTCAAATGCAATCTTGCTAATATTATACAGTTGTCACTGACTGTGTGGGATCTGAACTTATGGTTATGTAAACTAGCTATATCTACGGATGCATCCCGTACCCAGTAAAATCATGTCTAAAGGCTAGTAAATCTATGAAAAATATAGGGGCACAGCAATTTTTTACTTCCCTAAGGCATTTTTTTCTCATTTCTACACAATGTAAACTATAAACCTATGATTCCTATGCCATTATAACCCAGCATTTAAGAACTACATAAGTCATATATTGTCATAATATTCAAAAAAGGGAATATATGCATTCTAGATCCTTTCAAATGTATGACTACACAAATTATTCATCAAAACTACAAATTACGGCGGCGTAAGAAATTGTAAGCTCTGACACATCAATCTGTTGCAAAATGGTAAAGGTGGAGGGAAATTTATCATAGCTGGACACACTGAAATGAAAATCACGTTAAGGATCTGTTATCTTTAATTACTTGAACTGATCCCTCCTTTTCTCGGTGCTGCCAAAAGTCAGCCACCGCTACGTGAATGCATGAGTTATTTACTGGTTGATTATGTGACGTGACGTCATTAGTCTCAAGCTACTGGAACTATTGTTGATCTTAGTTTTGCAGATGTCATCTGTAGATTTCCAGAACGTGTGTGTGTGTGTGTGTGTGTGTATATATATATATATATATATACACACACACTGGGGCATGGGGCATGAAATCCTGTGCAGTGTCGCAAGATTTAACATTGCTATATTATTGACTTACTTCACTCGAACATGATATGATGAATTTAATCTAGCCTCTCTGCATATAATGTAGTTTCTACACTATATAGTTACACTTAACTTTAAAGCATGAGGCAATTGTGTTAAATACACACAAGATGCTTACATAAATCCAAGAGATGGCCAATCAATTTTTTTCAGTGTACAGCTTCTTTAGTCTGACTCTGTTATTGTAAGCTGGTACTGTCAGAGTTTATTAAATACACATGTGAAAACAGTATTAGCTGATAGACAATTATCTTTTACTGCTAGGGTTCCAGATGAAGTGCATACCTTGGATTTGCAACCCACACCCCCCTTTTTTTAATCTTTTTTTTTACATTAAGTAACAGCTACATTTTGAATTAACTGAGAATATCATAGAGTGTTTGAGTTTCACTAAAATGAAAAACAGCCACATACTAACAACTGACTCCTATATTCCTGAGCATACCACAGAACCTTTTTTTTTGGTCATTGCTGTGTAGGTCTCTCTTCTTCATTATAACTTAAATGACCTGGGCATAACAAGAAGTCGGTCTCTTATCTGACAATCCAATTTATTCCATTCCACCGTTATCCAATAAGTCAAAGTATGTAGTTATTTCAACATCTACTGGCTAAGTAGCTCCGTGTGGCATTCTTTAAAGTGTGAGGGAAGGAGGAGGTGCGGGAGTCTTAAGCCCTGCCTCACTAAGTGTGTGATAATTCAAGCGCTGACACGCACCATGTCTGCTTTAGTATCAATCTGTCATGCTAACAGCTTATTAGTGGCCTGAAGAAAGTGAGGGCCACACCTCAGCTTAGAGTCTAACAAATGGCAGCATGTGTTCTCTTGTGTGTGTGTGTGTGTGTGTGTGTGTGTGTGTGTGTGTGTGTGTGTGTGTGTGTGTGTGTGTGTGTGTGTGTGTGCACGTATTTCAAACTGTGTGGCCATTTGGGTATCTATGCCCTCATTACCCTAGCCCTCGGATAGCCATACCCATTGAGTTCATTCCTACAGTCCATTACACTGTCCTACTCTGAAGGGACTGCAATACACAGCTCTAAATAAAGTAGGGATACACTGAACTGGGCTTATTCATTTAAAAGGTTTGAGACTACAATAGCATACACATTCTCAGGTGCAAATCCTGCAAAGTTTCGCTCTACTTAAAATGAAACGGGATGCTATGTGATGAGTAATGCTGTGAATTCATCTAAAAATATAACATTAATTTGCATAGCGCACTGTATTATAACAAAGGTGTTATGGTGTTTAGTTTAAGTCCTTAACACATACTAACTTAAAGGATTCAAACCTACAGCAGTTAAAGAAACATCTGTCCTTGCAAAAAGAAGATTGGTGCTACAGCACAGTTAGCGCTTCACTCTGTAGATTTAATATTGTGACAATAAAGTAGTTTCAGTTTTGACGGGAGCCTGCCCAGACCTCTCCTTCCTGCGAAAAAGCAGCTTTTGAAGCAGCAAAAATAAGTAAGCGATATTTACACTATCCTGCTAATCTTCCGATCTTCAAGAACAAAATACCATTATCGGTAGTCTGGACCGCAGCTACTTTGCTAAATGACAGCGTATGCTGCCTGTGCCTCCCGCTATTAATAAAGCAGATAGGGTGACAGTGATGAGGATGCAAATTGTAGGTATCCCGTGGTTACCTCTGTTGAGCGTAGCAGAGCTGTTGATGTCTCCAGTGATGAAGGAGGACTCCTGTTTCCTCACAGTGTCATTCCACATCCGCCTGATACGACTCTATACGCATGAGAAAAGAAGCGAGAAAGAAAGAAAAGGGTAGAGACGGTATGGGCAAATTTGTAGAGGGGAAACAATAAAATGCAAGGGAAAAGAAATCAAAGGAAGAGCCAGCAACAGATCAAGGGAGAAAGGACACGACAACAAAGAAGGGAGAGAAATATAGTGAGAAAGTATAATATATGGGAGGCGATTGGCAAAAAAAAAAAGGATCAAATTAGTGCAGGACAGGCAGTAAATGGGGAAAAAAACCCAAAGCAACATCCGACAAAAGAGAAACAGGCAGGGAAAATTAATCATACATCAGTGTCTTTTGTACTCCATATACATTTTTTAAGCAACATTGTCTGTCACAGTCAGGGTTTTGGATCTCACACTTTCAACAAAACATCCATATTTTAAGTAGAGATGCACTGAATGTAATTTTACTGGACTATTGCATTTTTCTTTACTATGCTATGTTTTCTAACCTTTCTTTCGTGGAGAATTTCCATTTTTGCTCATAATAAAACATAGAAAAGTTTTTGAAACAGTCAATGTTTTCCAGTACGACATCAGGTTACTGAACCTACTATCACTCCCACTCCAACAAACCCATAATCGAGTGCTCCAGGTTACTGGACACAATATTGAGCTTCTTCATTTACTGGCAAACAGTGCCAACAACAGTATATGATGCCAACTGAGCTGGGCAGATCGTGTCAGAGTTGGAGCTAATAAATGCTAAACAAAAGTTACTCTGACTTTGCTCTTATTGCAGAAAAGAGAGTTCTGAAATTACTAATGGATTGGCAGAACTATGAAAAAGAGTACATGGCAGATGGCTACACTGGTAGATTACTGGCAACTGAGTTAGCAGTATGAGGAAGCCAGATACATTTACAGCTTATAAGATATTACATTTTGCTTCACAGAAGTAATATATCTGCACAGCAATTACAGTTGTTTTTGTTGTCTAAGGTGCACTATCGGCTGTGGTGGATGGCAGCGAAATCGGTTATACCCTTGATCGGATATACTAGCCGACTGATCGGTGCATCTCTAATTTAAAGCCCCAAAATAAACCGAATGGCATTCCAACTTAAAGTCGCATTTAATGTGTTTGCCTAAAATATGAGACGAGTTGAAAGTGAACAGCGATGACCCAAAACCCTCATGGCGTTATCTGGCCTCACCTGAGAATCTGCTGTGCTGTAGCGTCCAGGTGTGCAGGCAGGTAAGCTCACCTGTGAGCCTGTGGAGTAGCGGCCCGGGGTCCGCGAGGTGGTGGTTTTACTGGAGGAGGATATAGAAGTCTCCACGCTCTTGCCGCTGCAGCAGTGGGTGCGCAGACATTTGCCGTACTCTTTACGCACCTGGGCCCCAGATGGTGGGAGGAGGAAAAAAGCGTCAGAAACTGTAAATGCACTCTCAGCCAGCGCGTACAAAAGAGGGGGAATTGATTGATGTTTTTGCTTTGACGTGGCACATAATGATGCATATTTTCAAGATGACAGGCCGAGAAAGAAAAGACAAACTCTTCTTCTACTCAACTTCCTTGTGCAAACACTAAACCCATAAATTTAGACATTAGAAGATTAGCTCCATAAACTTTCCCCCATCAACATCCTCCCCAAGCTGCCACATATTCATCTAAAATGGACATATTCCTTAGGGGGAGATGTGATGCACTTGTACACACAGAACATCTGCATTTAGATCCCAATCAAGTTAGAACAAATACGACTGTAATTGCTTTTTAACAAGCTCGTTGGACTGGCAGGCATATATTGCCACATGCTCTGTTTGAACAGCTGTGTGGTGAGTTGCTCCATGCATCTTGGGAGAAACCAAGTTGGGTTGCAGCCAAAGAAAACCTCATCATTGTTCTGAGGACATCTCTCTGGATACCTGATCCCGTGACCTAGCACATACCTAAGTATACTGTGCACACACACCACACTTGTTTACTGGTCATGCACTTGAAACTAAAAATTGTCTGTGGGATGGCAGCCAGATGAGAGTATTAAGCATTTGATGAATCTTCTTTCCATATCCTACTCCTCTTCTGGAGTCCCAGGCACTGACAGTGTGTGGGAGACTGTAAAAGTATCCCGGTGTGTGTAGGCTCTTCCTGGAAGCCACACATAACTCAAGTATAAAAAAAGTACACACATGTGCTCACAAATGCCAGTAATCCTTTAGGCCAAGTAAACCCAAAAAAATATACCGAAGAGTTTGTTTTGGGTTTTTTTTTAATTATAGAGGACTTGAAAGGCGAACCGTGTGTTAATGTGAGTCATAAAATCATAAAACTCACTTAAGGAAATTACTTCAAGTTTCAGCCAATTAGACTTCAAAACACTCATGCATGTCCTCTTCCTGGGTCCAATATTTAAAACAATTAGAGCTGAATATTATCAAAGTGTATAACATGCTATTTCAGGTGCGATGACCCTGCCTGATGATGGAAAACTTTCTTTGCTGCTGCTAGAAGAAGTAAGACAAGCAACTCAGTTTGTTACCTGCTGCCTCAAGGCAAGACAGACAGTGACAGCGAAAGAGAGTGTTAGGTAGCAAGAATGAAAAGGTGAGAGAATTGAGCAGTAGGGATACTGAATGACCAATCAAACCTATGTGACAGCTCTGCAGATATTTTTGGTGTCTCTGTTGATCGTTTCTGGCTCGCATGTGTGCCTCTGTGTGTGTTTGTATGTGTCTGTCACACTGGCAGCTTCTGTCTAGCTTTGTGCCTCACCTTTTTCTGCAGTATGCAGTGGAAGATGAAGATAAACATGCCCTGCAGAGAGTTGAAGATGGTGAAAAGGTAGGCCATGATCACGGTGCTCTCGTTGATGTACATTAGCCCGAACGCCCAGGTCAGACCGAGCAGACACAGCAGAGCTATGGCCCCGATCACCCAGGACCTACAGGAGAAGACAAACAGTGAAAAATGAGAGATGCTCGTCCTGTTACTGTGTGTCATTATCAAATGAAATTCAAACATGAGAAGTTTGTCTTTTCCCCCCGTGGTGAAAAAACTAATCAGTCAAGGCTGACGCATGAGGGACCATGAGACGGTAGAGGGGTTAGAAAGGGTTCATTATGAGCCCCAACACTGTAGGAGTAGACTGGAGGAAACAGCGGGAGTTTTGCTTAAAAGAATTAAAGCCTTATAAAAGGGTTTAGAGGAGGCAGTGCGAGTGGATCTTTTCATTTAGATCCAATCTCCAGAGAGCGAGGAGAGGTTATAAGCGAGCTGACGTCAGCCACGGGTATCACGAAGAAAAGCATTCTTCACCGAGCACACTTTTCCCAAGCTGCAGCCAAACTTTCTCAGTCAAAGTATATGACAGGAGGTAAAAAATCATTTTCAGGCAGAAGTAGGTCCTGAAGTCTGTTAGCGCACTTGTGACTATAACAGTTTAATGGGAGTAGATTTGATAAAAGTTTTTAAGGCTGCAAACCTTCATTTCAAATAAAGGCTATGAAGAAGTGAGTCATAAAGGCCAAATGTCAGAGAAACTTGGTCATGTGGAGGCATGTGTATGCATCGTAAGTCCTTGTCTGAGAGTTGTGTGTGTGTGTGTGTGTGTGTGTGTGTGTGTGTGTGTGTGTGTGTGTGTGTGTGTGTTTGTGTGTGTTGTGTGTGTGTGTGTGTGTGTGTGTGTGTGTGTGTATTGTGTGTGTGTGTGTGTGCGTGTGTGCGCGTGTCCACATGAGTGTCTTCATCGGGCAGTAAGCAGAGGGACATTACGGCCATTATAAATGACATTTCCCACTAAAGGTCATAGATTTGTGTCTGCCAGAGCCGAGATGATAGCTGTTAATTTGATTGGCTGACTGGGCAGTGATCACCTCTAACACAAGTGATAGAGACAAAGAAAACCGGCAAGGAAAGAAAGAGCAGGAATGGAGATAGAGAGAGTGAAAAAACGCAGCGGGAGAGATATTAGGAGAGTCATGAGGAAGGAAGACAGACAGAGGAGGAGAGTAAGTGAGTGAGACTAAGGTGATTGATTCGATGTTTCCCTCTGTGGCACCATTCAGGCGAGACAGAACCTCCAATAAAGCTCGTCTGACGACCCTCTTCAATAAAGGGTATGCTCATCTCTCTTTTCCATCCCACCATTTCACCTCTTCCTCCAGCGTTCCCTTGAGTCATGGTTTCTCTCTCAGCTCTGTTTCCATGAATTCACATCTCACCTTTATAATATTTCAATAGCACATTAGGTCTATAGGTCACAGGACCTCACAAATCACACATGAACAAGAAATCCATTTTACAAGACAGGTTCACGGTTAATTTAGGTGTGTGCATAGACTACAGGAAGACTCCACAGACACATGAATAACAAGCAAACCAAACAAAATGTCTCTAGGAAGACAACACTGATTGGAGAGTGGCCTTACCAGAGCCAATCCACAACAAAGATAACTTATGATGGCTTGGAGTTAGAGAGACAAAGAAAACAAAAGGAAGAAAAAAATAAGACAAAAAGAACATGATGGTGATTAACGAATAAATGAACCACAATAAGACATGACTAATGAAGTGAAATAGATTAAAATCTAGACAGCCTTCAGTGTTCTCAGAAAGACTAAGGAAAGTCATTAAGAAGAGGGGGGAAAGATCCAAAGCATCGTGTTTTAAACGATTCTTTGATTTCCATCTTTCATCAGATTTTTTCTTATTAGAGTACTTTTTCCTGAACTGCACTAAAGCAAAGATCAGCTGGCTTCGCCTTTGCTTCTGAAACACTTCCTGCTTGAAGTCCTACTTAAAAACTGCCTCCATTGGCAGTAATATTTAAATCATATGAGAACCGAGTCATTTTTGGGATTTACATTATAAATTCTGAGCTCGGATACGCGTTGAACTCTGAGCCAAGGCATATTGTTTGAATTAGATTGAGCCTTTTTTGTCTTGAGCTGGACTCGAACAAGAAATGACACAATCCCGATTAGTTAGCTTGGTAGAAAGAGTTTCAGTATTTAATGGAAGTGAAGTCATATTTCAGTGGCACCCTCTAAGGGTCTCTTGAATAATAGGGACATGCCTGAGAAAAATGATTTGAAGAATTTAGAGGGTAGCATCTCAAAATTATGTAAGATAAAGGTGAAAGGCGCTCCATGCGACAGGGTAGCATAAAAATGTAGAATTAATTGAATAGTTCGACTTTTTGGGAAATGTGCTCACTTTCTTGCAGAGATGAATGTGAAGATTGATGCCACTCTTGTGTTTGTGCAGCCATGATGAAGTCGGAGCCAGCAGCTAATGAGCTTAGTGTAAAAACAATACTCCTGGTTCTGTCCAAAGGTAACATTCTAATGCTCACTAATTAGCATGTTATAGCCTTTCGCTGACTCCATAAACAAAACAAACTGAAACCAACAATGCGAGAGGATAAATTCAGAGATTGTGTCTCTCTTGCCTGAGAAATAGTATTGTACCTTACCTCCATAATTTGTGTTTATGCTTCCACTTATATATAAATGATACAAACAACAAAACATAAAGGCTTTAACTGAACTAAAGGTATCAACTTGTAGCTTTTGTTACCATTGGGCAGCGCCAGGCTTAGTGTTTCAACCCTATTCGAGTCTTATGTTAAGCTAAGCTAACCATCTGCAGCAAAAGTACTGCGCAAAAATTTAGAGTTATGCCTCATTTCTCTGTATTTTGCTAGGAAATAGGAAGAAGTTGAATAGTTGAAGTGATTTAATGAAACGTGTGCAAACACACATACAGTATAAAAGGCGAAAACGACGTTTGTACAAAGTGAAGTGAATATCCATTACACCGACCTTTATTCTCTAACATAGCCTGAACTCTCTTATGCAAGTTTTAATTCTTTAATTAGTCTTCAGGAATAGTTCTCCAGACTTCTTCAATGACATTGAAGGCTCTTTGGATTTTGGCTCTTTTCTGTTCTCTGTCAAGATGATCACACACGGCTTCAATAACGTTGAGGTCCGGGCTCTGGGGAGGCCAATCCATCACTGACAGCATTCATTATGTTTTTCTCTATCCAGGTATACTTTTAATGCACTGCCAGTATCTTTGGTATCATTGTCATGGTGTAAACTGAAGCTGTTTCCTAACAGGAGTTTTCCAGATGGTGGATCAAAATCAGGTCATACTGTAGAAACACTGTTGTACTTTTCTGTGAACATCCTCAGAAAATATTGATAAAGATTAGAACAAAAAATGTGTAATTTTGATTCACCACACCTTAAGACCTGTTGCCACTGATTTTCAGGCCAGTTATTGTTTAATGTTTCAAATTTCTGCCTTTTCTCTGTTTCCTTTCCTTATGACTTGCTTCTTGAAAACTATCCTTGCACCGAAACCATTTCTGATAAAGCTTTAAATAATAAACGACGGATCAAATGAACAGCCAGGTGTATTTTTGACTTGACTTTACTATTTATTTGCTGTAGATAGTTTTTCTAGGCCTGCTACTTCTTTTGTTCTGCCCTTGTCCAGTTTCCTGTTTCATGACGCACTGCACACCATTGGAAGTCTTTGGGAATCATCTTGAGAATGCCAGTTCATTTCTTGAATTAGTCTGTTTATGCTCAAATGACTCATAAGTTGTTAGGATGCCTGGGTCGTTGACCCAGGGCTTTTGAGTTTATATTATTTATACTGTCTAGTTTTTGGTTTCTTTGAGTTCTATCTAATGGCTTATGTCTCTGTCTTCTTTAGTTGCTCTGTCTCCCCTATCACCTGCATCCCCTTGTCTAGTTCGTGTCTATGTGTATCTTAAGTTCCTATATCCCCATGTTCAGTCAGTGTCTGCCCTGTTCCCACGTCTCTGTTCCCTTTGTAGTGCCTGCTTATGAGCCTGTGTCTTTGTTCAGTCTGTGTTATGTGTTTCCTGTTTTACTTTGAAAGTCCATGTCTGATGTTAATGTGTCTGGTTTTGCTTCCTCTTGTCTCGT